ACATCCAAGGCCATCGTACTATAATTCGCACAATTCCCGCGGGCGTCAGGCCATCGTGTCTGGGCCAGTTGCAGTGTCAGTGGTGTTTGCTGCGTGTCTAGGGGTACACATAGAGATTATCTTCCGGGCTCCACACTGTTTAGGGGTAGACCATTTGAAACTCTGAGGTGAGGCGATGGCAACAACTATGTAAACTAAACTAAATGTAAACTAAAAACATATTTGTTCTTAACTTAGTTTTGTGCTAACGGTGACTGTCTCCATGTGTCAAGATTTAAACCAACCACTAGAAAGTGTAACGGCAAATTAAATGAGTGAACGCTAAATATTCATAAAATATGCATGTTTCAATTTTAGCCGATTAGTTTAATTTGTGTTTTATTCCATAAATTGGATTGTGATTTTTCCATACAAGTCATTATGCTGCAATGTAATGATTTTTCAAGATCACCGTAACTCCTGTACCTTTCTTTAAATATATACACATTATTCCCACATTCATGTCCGAACAGTGTGGCCATTGCAGAGGTTAAAATACCCGACCATAATCATGTGTTTATTTTCTATGCTAGTCTAATGTACTTGTATTTTTATAGGTGGTATTTGGTATTACAGTGACGAACTACGACAAGGACAAATGGCAGCCAGCTATGATTCTTTGGTTACCAATTTTAGCAAAGAAATGTTATCCTTCTCCGACTTTCCGTTTCCCAAGGAATGGCCGCCTTTTATTCCTCATAAAAGGGTACATCAATATTTGCACAGCTATGCAGAACACTACGATTTGAAGAAATACATCAGATTTAACCAAGATGTGCTTTCAATAGAACAATCGGGCGATGGTAGATGGAATGTTTTCTCAACCAACAATGATGGCAAGTTGCAAGAAACATTCGACCATTTGATGGTGTGTACTGGAGTGTTCAACAAAATACATTACCCATCATACCCTGGATTGAATAAATTTGCGGGAATACAGATGCATGCAAATAAATACCGAAACACAACTGGGTTAACTAACAAACGAATTGTTGTTGTAGGTACGTATGTTATAGGAAGGTTACGTTGAAAGTTAATCATGCCGAGTCGCGTAGCATCAGACATCGATCATGTCATATGTATATCATGTATATTTTCTTCAAGTTGTATGAGAGTCACAGTTGCGCAATTTTGTCCGTTTTCAAATAAAGTAAAAGTAGTAAAATGTTGCCCCACAATGGCAGTGTAGTGATGAATATGTGTGTCTCAACAGGTGCAGGTTCCTCAGCTGGAGATATAGCATGTGAACTTGCCAGGAGTGGATCTACTCAGGTAATCATGTACAATCGGTCACCATAAACTTTTATGTACATAATCTTACAATAGAATAGAAATTATACCACAACTTACATTAATTAATGATCAATAAATGTATCAGTTTTAAAAGCCTTCTCTACTGCTACGTCATATTGATAAAAATTATCATACTAGTATATCAACATATTATTTGTACTTCCGTAGGTATACCTGAGCATGCGCAATGGCACTTGGGTAATTCCCCGCACCGGCCCGGATAGTTATCCATATGATATGCGAACGTTTTCAAAGTCCGCCATGAATGGCTCTACACAAACCGTAGCGTCGACATTAGACAAACTTGTGAGACAAAATATCCAAGACTACAAACGTCTAGGTTTGCAGGTGAGCACTATGACTAATTTTAATAATTTTATTTACAGAAAAAAAAAAACATGATTCCCTGTTACTTGGGTTAATAATATTTCACATTATAAGTTATTATCTTTCGCGAGATTAAATTATGTGAGGCGTTCTGGTATGATGTTCAATTACCATACATTCGTGATCATTATGTAAATGATATTGCTTAAGGTAGCGAGACTATTATTTGCATACTTGTTTTCACCTTCTAATTGTGACTAAATGACTACAAAAAGACCCAGGAAAGTATATATTTTTGGAATCGCCTGACTACTACACTACTAAGTCTGCTTTGCTTCCCTTCAGAAAATGTTATGTTGACTTTATCATATGAACGTTTAGAGTGCATTTCATCAATTAATAAATAAATGTGAAAATCGTATTTTTCAACACAAATAATAGTCTCGCTACCTTAATTAATTTAAATCAATATATTACACCATGGAATAAGTTTGGAATACATAATATTTATGTGAAAGGCGACAATATAGTGCTATGAACGAAGTAAATATTTCAGACTATTCACTGCAACATACTTTTCGCCTCGTGTTCACGACTTGTCAAACATATGTCATTTCGAAATATTGTTATATTTCAAGAATCGTGACCCGATATTAGCCACACAATCACTGATGATCAGCGATGATATCCATGTTCTATAATGCAAGGCAAGCTTGTACCTGTGGTTGGAATTGAAAAGTTTGGAAAGACTAGTGTAACACTCGAAGATGGTAACACCCCTAGGAAACATAGATGTTGTAATCTTTGCTACTGGTTATGAAATATCTTTGCCAGTTCTTAAACACGACTGGGTTTTTGGTGAGTATATATCATGATAGATTATGAACGCAGAGGCATTTTTTTTGAATGCTTAATTAATCAATGGTAATTCGAACAAAACCACTTTTGTAACTATTATATTTATATAAATCAACAGCGACAGAAATTCATCGGGTGCAGGTACAAGAGCTGAACAACTCATTGTAATAACATCTCATTATGCAAATTAGAAAATGTGACATAAGTTGTAGTAAAAACATGATTGCAAACACAATTACATGTACTGTGAGTTGAAATATGACACATGTTATTGCAGCAACATAAAATATAGGCTTGGAAATTTCAATATTTTCAGCCAGGTCTGCAAACTATTTTGCGCAAAATTCGTAATACTAATAAAGGCAGGTGCGTCTTATACGCAAATGTGCATAATTATGAGTAATAGCCTAAAAGCCAATGACGAATATCCGGTTCAAAATAACTCAAAATTTGTCTCGCTTTTCCAGCGTATCTTTCTTTTGTTTTCATATGAAGTCTTTGTAATTAAGCAATTCACTACGTTCAATTACCCACCATAGACTCCGGTCAGTCAAAATGACTATTTTGAACTGTAGGCATTAATCAGCGATTCTGCCGGTGA